ACGAATCTATCAGCCATTATTAAGGAGAGCTCCTGAGCATCCACGACAAGGAAGCACAAACCTCTTTATTATCTTTTTATGCTGTTTTAATAGAGTCGATCTCCTGTCCCAAAACTAATTACAGGTACAAAGAGACACTGCCAGATGAAAGCACCTATGCTTTGATGGATGATGAGAGGCCAAATAAATGTGATTTGCACAGTAATGGACGACAGAAGAGTTTCTGCAGCATCTCCAAGTTCTGTTCGGGAGTGTTAGTCTTTGAATAAGCCTTGATTTTTTTTACCACCGTGGAGGAGTCAAGTCAAGGATCCAGGCAGGAAAACAAAGGCTGCAGGTTCAATTGCAAACTAGGAAGGGCCCTGGAGAGTTACTGAGATCCTCTTTTTGCTCAATGCCCTTGAGCAAGGCCCTTAACCTTAAGGTGGTCCAGAGGGACCTTCCCTGCTACAGTATGTGCACAGAAAATCTCTTTAGATAAAAAGTATTCTTATAACCTTCTGTGGTAGGCCTACCCATTATGGTCTAACAATGGAATATTTCCAAATTGTTTTTTTACATAAAAAAAAAAGCCAATATGGCTTTGGCAACCTTATCAATCTTAGTTAAAGGTAGGGTAGGCAATTTCAGAGTGGCTAGCAATAGAAAGCTAGCTTTGAAAGCATGAGATCCCACCTTCCCTTCAGAGTGTCTCCCAAGCCATACCTGCTTCAAAACACATTACGCACACAGCAGAGTCTTCAAAGCGTCATGAGAGATGGCGTTAAATTACCTCAAAATCTTCTCAAACCTTAAATGTCTCAAACCACATAACATTGCAATAATAATGAACGTAAACAACTTACAGAACTCTAACTTGTACCACCTGACTGCTGCAGATTTATTTCAGCGTTGACATGAATCCGAGTCTGAGGCTCTGGGAGGAACATCACGGGTTGCCATCTCGTAATTACGGTTAGGATATGGTGTGAACGCAACATAAGCTCGTTGTTTTGGTTCAGGAAGAACTGTAAAGGATGACTGCTGTTTTTTTGGCAATCGGTGGCTGTCTGTCTCTCCATAGCCTTAACGGAACACGCTGATGTGATGTCTGTGCGAGCTGGGTGTGCGGATGTGTTTATTTTAGACCAAAAAGTGTTTATCAAACAAATTGCCTACCATACCTTTAATTATACCCCCACACAGCGACATAGTGTCGGCCCAGATCCGGCCCACATCTTGCTGTCTGGGCCACAACCGTAGTCAGTTTTAAGAGTTAATTATTTACTCTTTTTCAACTTTCTGTAGATTAAACACATGAAACATAAACTGTATCTGTGTTATTTGTACATAAACACAACTATATATACTTCCAAATAAATAAATAATTGCATAATAATAATCATCATCACATAAATAACTTCAACATAATTGAGACCATTCTAAAAATTCCCAATGTTGAAATGCATTACTAAAATTCCACTAAGGTAAAATTGACATTAGCAATATTTGCTCAATTTCATAGGTAAAATTGATTTGCGTCACCTCAAAACCAACATATAACAATATTTAACTGCTCTTTTTAACATCTGATGATTGTTGTAGATTTTTTCAAAAGGCAAAAAAATTGAAGGAAAATCAAACATCATATCAAAGATGGCTAAAGGCTATTGACAAAAATCTCCGAGGTGTTTCGATTTAATGTTTATGTTGTAATGTTAATGCTTTTTATCAGTGCTTCAGTATCTTAAAAAGCAAGTCAATAAAATCGTTCAGGACATGATTTGATGAGATTTTTGATGTTCTGATGAAACCATTTCTAGCACCTCATGACTTCAAATGTTTTATATCTTTTTCATTGTTGTAAGACAGTGAATCCCAAAACAAAAGAGACTGCCTTATAAGAATGCAGAAGTAGCTACAGAAAACCCAACTGAACAATGTTTTAAAGCTGAAAAATCAGCAGGAGCGGTGTGTAAACATAACACTTAAATGAGAGAACTCACAAAGAGTTGACCACAGTGCACCTTAATTGTCTCAGGACTCAACTCCTGTCTGCCTCTTTTTTGTCTGAATAGATTAGTCCCCAGGTCAAAGTTTGGCGGGCCACCGCTCACCCTCCCCCCGTCATGAAATATTCACCACATTCTGCTGTTGTCAAAGCAACAGGCCTGACACCGCAAATCACAAAACAAGGGATTAAAGCAGAGGGGTTAAGTATATAAAATGCAGGTTCGAAATGTTTTAACCAATGAGAAACCAAAATGCATGTGCTGGGTTGACCTATTTTTAGACTTCCTTTTCCTGCAACATTCTATACAAAAAGATGCATCATATTCCGCTTCAGAGAGTAACTGATGTCACTGATAGGCTACTATATGTCCCAGATTTAAAGTAGATTCTTCCTGTTTCACTACAGTGCCAAGAGATGGCATCGGTTAAAAAACATCTTACGAGTCGTTTTCGGATAAAACGGCTGCACCTCAAGTGCCCCAAGTTCTAAACCAGCTGATTGAACGTGTAATTCTGTTGTCTCTATAAACCGCACAGTTGGAGGGGAACAGGAAAAGCATTCTACACTTCTTGATGGAGCCCGTGAACTCTGACCTGCTGGAAGAATATTCACATGCATCCTCCCCCACTTCTCTCTCTATAAACTACCTCTCAGAGTCAAAGTTGTTCTGCTGTGGAAAACAACAGGTTGCTGCTTTCAGATCATTATGTTTAATAACTTAGAAGAATCTGCAGTGCAGAGGAGAATGCAAACACAATCTGCAGAATGCAAACACCTCAAGAATAGAAGGAGAAGAAACAAGTGTTCTTTGTGAGGGCAAAGTGTGTCTGCAATGCAAATACACCCGGGATAAAACTGAATAGGTTGCAGCCTAACGGATACATTTAATGTAAAACTTTGAAACAACAACAACCCAGCTGACAGGGAACCTTCTCAGAACTTTGGCTAACGTTCTGGCAAAGGTTCTCTCAAACATTCTTCCAGAAACGCCAATAGAACGGGTTCTTCAATGCTATCTGGTCTTTAATAAAGTTCTCAAAACGTTAACATAAAAACACACATTGTTCATGGAATGTTTTTTTTTTCTGAAATGTTTTAGTTGGTCATTCATCTTTTATAGAAAGGTCAGAAAACATTCAAAAGAAACGTTCCCATGTTTGGAAAATGATAAAATGGAATGTTCACTTAGCATTTGCATAACCAAGAAAAAAAATGTTTTTAAAACATTGAAAAAGCTGGACGTTTTGAAAGTTCACAGAACATTCAGAAATGATGCTTTCTATACTTAATGTTAACATTGGCAAAACGTCCTTAGAACATATTTTGTTGGTCTGGAAACAAACATTTAAATTGACACACATTCTCAGGCCTTTCCGTGCTCCTGTTATAAAACTCAATATTTAATTTGTATTTGCACATGTGATAATTTATACTCATCTTTCCCCCCTTGTGTCCAGACTCCTGTGTGTGAGGTTTTGTGTGTGCCTGAGAGGAATTGTGGGGTGAAAGAGTTCAGAATTGCCCTTCCCCCACAACCAAAAAATCCATCGACTCTCGCTCATGGACTTCCATCTCAAAAACAAGCCCTTAAAAGGGTGACAGTCCCGATTACAACGAACCAGGCCTAATTGTACCCCACTAATTGTCAAGCATTCACACAAGAGGATTAGACAGAATGAATGATGTATTAAAATACAAAATATGATAGGAAATGTGTGAGAAAAAAACAACACACATTGTCAGGCGGGCAGCTGTGGCGTTCGATAATTGCGCGAATGCGTTGATTAATGATCAAAGCTGTGGGCCTGAGGTAGTGTGGCTGGTGGTTAATGACAGGGGTGAGTCTGGGATTAAATATGAGATGGGTAAGTGGAGATGAGGGAGTCAGGTTGCATGTCTTTTCAGACCTACTGTTCATACTGGAGCATTGTGAGCAGGCGAGGGGGAGGCACTGGGGCCCAGCGGCAGCCACAAGCGACAGCTGTCACAGCCTCTGGTGAGAGCCACTAATGACCACTCTTCACATAGGTGTCCTGCAACAGCTCCAGCCAAACAACTACTGCATGATCCACTTCTGCATGGCAGGCCTGCAAGTTATGTAACGAAGAGCTGAAATTATACAATGGCGATTAAGTTTGACTACTGACTTTAAATTGCACTGTTTTTTTTTTAAAGGGCAAGTGTGGTGAATAAAAAAAGCATTTAAAGGAGCAGCTCTATGAAAAATAAATCAGTTCATTCAAGTAAAGGACTAGTAATTCAATAAAAACATAAATAAAGATTACAACAAGATGATAATACACCATTACATGCAACTTCTATAAAATATAGAAAAGCCTGCATGTGTGTACATCATGTGCACCCTTTTAAATTTTGAGATGCATTATGTCACTCAATGACAAATAGGATGTCTGTGATGATAAACCTATGTAATATTTTTTTCTGCCAAAAAAAACTCTCCAGAAATGTCAAGTAACTAAATTATTTTCTTTGCACCTTGAACACACACAAACACACACCCACGCATATATATAGCCTATATATATATATATATATATATTGGGGGGGTTAATACTTCAAAACAAAAGGGGTTCACGTTCAAAAATAAAATGAATATAGGCTACATAACAATAATATTAGGCAAATTTGTTTTTAGACTTTGTTTTTCTTTTCTTTTTTAGTTACACCACATATATATTTTCTATTATTTTGACTCAAAATTACTTTTTAATTATTCCCACATTGACTATTTTTATTTATTTATTGTTTTTTTGTATATTAAAATGAATCGGTGAAAAGCCAAATAGCTAGATCCACAGAAAAAAAAAAAAATAACAACAGCCAAACAGCCTTATGTGTTATATCTTTTCCCAAATAATTTCATTATAATCATAAACTGTCAGTCATCACATACTATCACTTTGTTTGCCAGACAGATATTGCCATTACAGAGTACTATTACCATTACAAGTCTTCTGAACGCCAGACTTCTGCATCACCTAACTTTATGCTGAACAAACAATAGTCAATGAAAGAGGGAGGTACGGAACCATTGCCGCTCCAGGTGTCGCACGAAACACACGGGGCACTTCGCTGTCGATCCGTCTCGATCTGGATCAACGTCGGTCGATGTCATCACATTGTTTCCTCGATCTACAAACCAAGACGATGTGATCGCTTTGATTCGCAATTTCAACGCTGTAGTCATTTGGAAACTGCGGATGCCACTCAGTTTGTCATCATCATCTCGGAGTGTCACCTTGCGTTTGTGCCGTTGCCCCACAACTTCATTACGTCATTTATATGTACCGAGGTAAGTTTCGAATCGAATTCTGAGCAAGAATCGACCTTAAACAGTAGGATCATGTAGTGTGTTAATAATAGTTCGCTACTTTGAAGGGAGATTGGACGAAGAGATTTCGCTTGGACTTGCTGTCGTGATGTGAATAGGCATTGTTTCAGCGCTGGTGGTGTAACTGAGATTAAGATTAGAGATCATTCTATTGGTAACTCACTTTAATGATAGTCACACATTGATTTATCCCTTTCTTTAATGTAAATAGCCTGTCGTTTCGTACTCACATAGGCTATAACCTCTGCCATATCCCATTTTGTTTGTCCATGCGCTATTTTAGGAAGTTACTCTTCTGAAGAGCTTCAAACATTGAACCATCTGTATGGAAATAAATCGGAAGGAATTTAATCATTCTGATTCATACGAATCATTCCATAATTCAAATCAACGAGTCTTTTAATAGGCTACTTTTGAGGAAGACATTTTTGAAGTAAGAAATTCCAATTGTAGATGTGCTGCACTCAGCAGTCTGTTGCTGGTTAGATCGAAGAGATCGTTTCAGATTTCTACATAGCATGTAGTCTATAACAAATCAGAAATAAATTAAATACATTTTTGGCAAAGAGTGTGTTTAATGAGTTTCCACAGACTTTTTAGAGGTGGCATATAGCCTACAACCCAGCCTAATTGACCTACATAAATAAAATATTTGTTTATTTTATTTACTAGGCTACTTAGGCTAAATAAAATATCATATATTTTTGGCAAAGTGTGTGTTTAAGGAGTTTCCACAGACTTTTTTAGAGGTGGCATGCATAGCCTATTACAATCCAGTAGCCTATTAACCTTAGCCTATAGGTTACATAAACAAATAAAATATTTGTTTATTTTATTTACTAGGCCTACTTATATTGCATATTATAATCACGAGAAACCAGGCTTTGTGGTTTTAGTAAAATGACTCAGATTAAAGTGCTTTTGATTCACTAAAAAGAACCGACTCATAAGAGCCATTTTGTACTGATCGCTCTGTATGTTTTTGATTCACTGAACAGACTCGTAAGAGTCCGCTATAACGAACCGGCTCGTATTAGAGTCATTCGGGCTACAGTAGTTGCGTTGTATTTTTTGATTCATGATAAAGAACCGGTTCGTAAGAGAATCATTCTGGAATCGGACTATGCTGTCTGCTGTATGTAACGTTGTAGGCCTACATTCAGTAGCGATGTTGTTTAAACAGCTGTTAACGCTATCAGTGCAGCAGTGTTCTAAGATTGCACATTCAAGAACTTAACGTTGTGAAAACCATTCAGTAGCCTACTGTTAATTGGAACCTGTTCCTAACCGGTTCCCAATACATCTGTCATCATTCAGAAATGTTAAAAGCTTTTGAGTTGGCAAGCCGAAGTTTCGTTTGTATTTGAACTTTAGGCGACTTGACGCCAAATTTATTTAGCCTAGGCTACATTGTGTTGTTATAACCTTTATATCTATAACGCAGATATAACGACCAGCTTGCTTTTATTGACTCTTTACTCATGTTAATTTAATAACAGTCACAATGCACTAGCTATATCGTGTATAAATGCATTAATTCTGCACAAATCGTTAATATTTTAACTATGATTAAGCCAAGCTCAGGAAAACAGCCGTGCATTTAAATAATAAACTTGTTGATGCAGAGCAACACATGATAGCCTACATAACTGAAAACCAATTATTTTAGAAGGAAAAAAAATATACCATGCAATGCCAGGCATTAAATTAGGTTACAGCTATCTTCAATCTTCCTATTGATTTTTTCCGACATGATTAGGCCTACGTTCAACATGATCTATTATTCGATTTTTTTATAATATAGCTACAATAGCGATCAGTTGCTTCGTATGGTCTTAAATCTAAACCCAATGTTACTTTCAGAGCTATTACAGTCTAGGGCGGGGCTTTGGTGCTTTACTTTTTTGTTTTGTTCAGTTTTTTTCCCCTCCCCTCTCCCTGAAAGCTTGTCGGATGCTTGTCAGTTCGCATTTAGCTTACCATTATCAAGGCTCAAAGCCTTTGGAGGACGACGGACTGCGATTTACAGGGAATTTTTGGATAACGGTCCTGTTGAATTGGGATCTTCACTATACGGGGATAAGGAATAGGCTATATGAATGAAGCGTTTGAAAAGCAGCAGAGGATGTTCGTGCTTCCTAAAGAATGTGCATGCCTGATTTTTCATGAGGACACTTAATAAATAAAAACATATGGTAAGACATTTTACAGTTATAAAACTTAATCAAACTAATTAGGCCTAGTGTGCATATTGATTATACAGTATGTGATTATCCAGCAAACTTTGATTAATAAACACCCTATGACCAGTTTCAACAAACCTCTAAACTTGAGAAAACCTTTAGTCCTAATCTTGTGTTTTTTATTTATTTATTTATTTATTTATTTATTTATTTATTTATTTATTTTATTATTGTAACTAGGGGTTTAAGCATGCTCATTTACATATAAGGAAGGTTTCTTATTTATTGTGCTTATTAGTTTCGATACAAACTGTTAAACTGGTGTTGTTTGATAATGATAATGAGCAGAATGAAGGGGAGGAGGGTAATACGTGTGTGCATTATCATTATCATGGCTGTCATGGTGCCAAGGAACATCTGCTTGTGTGAAGCTGAAAGTTCATGTAACAGTCAAATAACTTGAGGGAGGTTTTTGTGGTAAATGACCCAACAGGCATGTGCAGGGCTCTCTTGTTGTATTATGAGTGAATTTGCTGGCATAAGGGCTGTTGGGGGGCTGCTGCGGGGATGGCGTCAGCATACTAGTTAATACCCCTTTGCTTTGTGATGAGGGGTCTGTTTCTGGCCAACATGACTTTGAACGGGATACTTCTGAGTATTCTGGCTTTGCTGGTTTACGTATATTGCAAGTGTTTACAGTATGGCTTCGTATGGTTAGAAGTGCAATATTTGTGGGATAACGTTTTGGCAGGTGACCTAAAATGGTGTTTCATTTGGTAACATCTTAATTAATTAATTTAATCCCCTATTTGTACTGTGCGCATGTGTCATTTAAACCTAAAGGAACAAACTGCATGCTTTTTCTGAAAAAAAAAAAAAGTTAGTGAAGATATGTGAAAATAATTAACTCCTCAAAGTAACTGCATATTTTATTGTGTTAGCTAATTTATTTGAGGTGGGTTAAAAAGGTGCAGATGACACTAAACAGTTATTCTTGTGTTCTGCGCTGACAGACAAAAGCCTTACCTTGCAGCACCAGATATTTGCATAAGCCTTTGCTAAAGTCACTTCCCTTTTATTTGCAGCTGGTTACTGTGCTCAGCCTCAATGAAGCAAGTTGTTTACACGGCTTCGGTTCACGCACTACACACCTTTTGACAGTGCAAATCAAACAGCCTGTTCATTCGGGAATGAGTGAGTGGGTGTTGTACTGCTTGTTCGAGTTGTGAAGAGACCTAAGCAACCTATGAAATCCCAACCGTGACTGTTCTGAGATGTAAGGAAAAGTGATAAGATGTTCTGTGCTTTTTTTTTCTTCTATTTGTTTTTTTTTTTTCTGAAAAGGGCCAGGGGGCTTGGGTTCAACCATTTAAGTGTCGAAAGATGTGGTATTTTTGTATTTCAAGATACTTTTCTCTGAATGAGAATGGAGAGAGCAGCCTTTTTATTAAATTCAAAGAAGTTAAAAACAGTGATGGCCGAATTGTCCTTTTGATTTGAAATGGAGCCCAAACTGTTTATATAGTGACTATAAAAGACTCAGATATCTGAAATATTTGAATATTGGAGATTTAATAGTACAAGTCTACCTAGAATGCGCAATATGGAAATTTTATGCATCTTCCGTGTAAATTCAGAGGATTAAATAACATTCCTAATTTGACATTTCCCTTTGTCACCAGTCTATTTTCTGCTTGAGGTTTATGGCTTGAACTTGTGGTGACCTTGCAAAACTGACCCTCGACATTCTACTGTGACTTAACAAGCATTTCCAGTCCTCTCGCAACCCCTAATAGCGCAAGATCCGCTAGCTGGAGGAAGGGACCATTAACATTATCAGTGGCTTTGAGTACAGGCAGTATAGGGAGGCTAAAACAAAAGGCACAAGGGTGGCATTGTGAAGGATCAGCAGTAGATTACTGGAATTCTTTTTCCATGGCCTGAATAAGCTTCTACTTCCCCCATCTGGACACATGAGAAGAAATGCTTACATTTGCAACTTTAATATTTTAATGCCTTTGTTATACTGAAGCAATATGAGGCTGCTTAGCCATTATTGTCATTTGCATTCAGAAGACATACTGTAATAACGAGTGTCGCAAATGTAAGATCCTTTTGGTGAAGTGTGTGCAGTAATGTTTTATGATGCGTTCTGTTGATTATTAAAACATTTATAGGAGGGAAATAGATTTAACGAGTTGGCATTATTGCTACAGTATGCTTAATGTGTATTATAGTATGTCACAAAGCTGTTAAATGTTTCATTGCTGCATCATTACCTCTCGTTGCTCATTAAATTAAACATACACTCACATGCACACACCCACGTACAGAAACAGATAGATGAGAGAGAGGGTTGGAGGATTGGGTCATGTATATGTCATCAACTGAAGTGCAGTTTTACCTGTTGTGGATTAATTTGAATAACTGTCTGTTTGATAAACAGCTGAATGTTGTACATCCAGTCTAATAGAATCATAATCAGGAAAATGGTGTTCATAAACACACACACACACACAGATCAGTTTGAGAGGCAAAGTCATTTGCCATTTATCCTCAGGAGCAATAATTCTGAAATGAAATAACCATAAATTTTCTGAATCCTCTCCATTGTGGTCTTAATCTACCTTTGGTTTGAATTACGGCGAGCGAGTTAAATGAAAATGCTCGATTGTTACCTTAATGGGATCATTTACACAATCATCATTTACTCATCATCAAGTCATTTAAAACCCATATGACTTTTTTTTTCAGTAGAACACAGTTGATGTTAAGCAG